GCAGCGGCGAGTTAAGATCTCCAACAGATAAGCTGATGTATTTGTGTGCGTATATATGTATTGTCTATATTGTATATATGTATAATGCTGCCTTAACACGATCTTCTGAAGCTATTGTAAAGCTCTGTTCCGACCAGATGTCGCGAATTTGAAGAGAGGTTAAGAAAAATGAAAGAAGCGACAGCTTCTCTCTTCCTTTATAATACAATTATATTATCCCTCAGATTTATAGCATATATAAACGCATAATGCCGTGTTTTATAAGATAGCTATTTTAAGATGGGATAAAAATCCTGCCACATTATCAATATAGTCGCAAAGCTAAGCGTATAATTCGCTCAACTTTATTACCAGCTTTTTCCACACACTTAAAAACTATTTCGCCACGAAATTCTTTAGGTAATGATCGCCTCCAGCTATTCATAGCTAATGCAACTAACATAACTATAATTTAGAAACTTAATCTTCTGCCACTTCGGGCTCTTAACTCTTAAGGAAACGAACCATTGCCAAGAAAAGCTAGCTAAAAGAACGTTGTTATCTTTTCTTTTATTTTTTCTTCGTTTTAATGATCTCTTCTGTCAGCCCGATTCGTAGGGCCAAATTAGAAATTGGCACAGATCGCAACTTGATGGCTATAAATTGGGCTAGTGCCGGTTCGGCGGGCACTTAAATGTTGCTCGAGGGGCAGAGAGCAGAGAGCAGACGACCAAAATCAGACGAGAGAACTTTGGGAGTCATTTGACAAATAGACAAGCAGAACGGAACGATAAAGTGTAGCTTACTTAAAATAAAACAAAAAGACAAAAAATACGTCAAGTAAATTGTGTCATGCTCATCTTTATAATTATCATTATTATTGTTGATTTAAGCATTTACATTCATTCTCACGTCATTGGGAGAGATAAAGAGAGAGAGACTCACAGTTGACGCGAAAAAAATCAGGTTTCCAATTGTAGTAGATGTAGTTAGCATCAAGTTTAGATACTGAGCTAAGGCCCCAAAATAAAGCGTCATATGCCTTGCGAATAGAAAGTTATAAAAAAAAAAAAAAAAAAAACAGAAGCAAAAAATTAGCGGCTATCACGAGACCTAAGATCAAGAATTGGAAACAGTGCAACAAAAAACAAGTAAGAGGTTCTAGTTGGAAGCTTACGACTAGGGGTTACCCTCATCCCTCTTCTTCCAACTAATTAATACAAATTAATAAATAAAAAGTTCCATCTCTCAACTGATCGCATTACTTGCCGCTACCTCTACTCAGCAGCCAAACCAAAAATTGAGTCTAAATGGGAAAAAACGAATTCAAATAGCAGAACAGAAAACAATATAATCGCAATTGCAATGCTGTGGATATACACTAAATTAGAAACTACATGTCAAGTTTGGTAACTTTAGTTCTTATTATTTACCAAAATTGCCCAAAAAACAGAATTGATCGATTACATGGCAATGGGGCAAGTTATAGAATATCGGAAACAAACTCGATCCGTGCGGGTAATAGAAGCCTCTCTAGTCTCTAGCTCTTACAGGTTATGAGATTCTTGCGCTGATCAAGAATATATATATACTTTATGGGGTCGCAGATGCTTCCTTCTGCCTGTTACATACATTTGCACAAATACAATATACCCGTTTTACCCATTTTTAATGGGTTCAGGGTATAAAAAAGCACTCATCAGCCGAATTTTATTCATAAATCGATAAATGACTTTTTCGGGCTGCCGCTTAGTAGTTAAAGACTTTCGGACGGAACAAACTATTTGGCAGAATCATTATTTTTTCTAGCTCTTAATGATACGCAACAGCAAACTAAACGGAATGGCAGCTTTGGCAGTCCGATTCGGTTAACTCCGATACATTGAAGTCTGTCTAAAAGACGGAACTATGAAAAGTTTCATGGCGAAAGCCTTACAACTAAAACTACATGGACCATATATTGACAGCTGTTGATACTGATCGAGAATATATATGCATATACGCTGTCTGCTTCTGCTTCTTTGGTGACTCAATTTGAATACTCCCACAAGGGTATCTGCAAATAATGGACTGAACATTTGTAATAGGTTTGTCAAGCCGATAAAATCACTGTTAGTTTTCGTGTGCGTGAGTCAATCAATGAGACATTCCTCAGATAAGCGCCATGCAATGAAAATCCAGTGTACTTGAACTTGTTTTTGGTTTGGTTTGGCCGGCAACGGCTTGCTACTCTGATAAGAACTGTAGCTATTAGTAATCAGATTTGACTCTTGGTATCACAGGCATATAAGTATATAGGTTTCATTATACCAGAAAATAGTAAGGACATACTCTCAATGAAAGCCCCATTTAAGTTTGATTGACTGGAAAATTCGTAAACTGATATTTCTTTAAATAGTTTATCCTACGCATTTACAATTTGGTGCAGACCTATTTTCAAAGTTGTCCAATAAAACGGAGGACAAATGTTTTTAGCATGCAAATGCTCTGTACTAAAAGTGATTCAACCCCAACTTTAGCTATAAATATCTACATATACATATGTACCCCAAGGTTCCATGTAAAAGTGCTAGTTGGAATGTTAAACAAAGACGGGCCCGGGCAAGGCAGGTAGCAGCAACCAAAAGCAAACGGTTTGGTGACTTTAACAGTTCCGGGTTCGAAACTGCAATTCAGATAAAATTTCAAATGCGCAAAGTGCAGAAGTCACGTTTTTGCAAACGCATGAGAACAGCTGCCATTGGCTGTATGACGTGAGAGGGGGGGGGGCAGAGATAACATACATATATGTTCATGTACGATCTAAAATTTGCTGCTGATTGGCAGAGAGCAGCAGCGGCAGCAGAGGCAAAGCACGTTGCGTTGATAGTTGGGAGAGAGCTGTGAGAGTTGCATATAAGCTGCGTTTAAGGCTCGGCCTTAAATAGCAAAAGCTTAACGAAGAGCGAGTGGGTGGGAAGAGAGAGAGAGAGTGAGTGAGTGAGAGAGCGTGAGAGTAATTTGCTCTCTAGGCGCTTAAAAGAAAAAATGTGAATGCGAATGCGAGTGTGGAATGCGCATTGTGCGAGAATGAGTCAACTTCAGCTCGACAAACAGAAATGCGGGTGATAGACAGCGAGGAAGTAAGCAGGCGGGCGGGCGGGTGGTCGGGCGAGTTGCGGTGCATTAAAAGAGAGAAGCCACGCAATTTGTGTGCGTGTGCGTGTGCATGAGAGAGTGAATGAGTGGAATAAGGTCAAGCGGGGTGCGGCAAAATGTTTCCGCTGATAGCGTTGATAAAAAAAAAAAAAAGCTCGCAACAATGTTTGAATGGCAAAAACAGCAGAGAGCAGAGGCGTTGCCAGTGACAGTGACAACAACAACAACAACAACAACCGCAGCAACAGTAGCAACAACAACAACAACAATGCAGAAAGAATGGCAAATAACTGGCACAACAAATTTAAATAATAAAGAAATTCAAGAAGAAATTTCACTTTTGCTATGCGCCATGCGGCGCCGTTATATGCCGTTATACAGCCGCGGCAGCAGCAGCAACAAATAAAGACATGAATACATTGGGCTTGGTTTTTTTTTTTTGCCTTTACTTCGCACACACACACACACACACACACACACAAACTGGCAGCCAGGCCGCACTTTCTTTGACGCTGACGCTGGCTGCTGCTGCTGCTGCTGCTGCCAACTGAGATCGTTCGCCTTTTGGCGGCTTTTACAAAATTTGTTTATTAAAGCTAACAATGCGCAGGACACATATTGCAATTAATCAATTACTACATCTATCTCACACACACACACACACACGCACGCACACATAGCGCAACAAATCAAGCGCAAAATGTGTGCCGTTTTTTTTTTGGGCATTTTTCATCTAAACGATGACGCGTTCGCAAAACACAATGTAAAAAAAAAAATGTAAGAACGGTAAAACGAGACAGACAAAGGGCAATTGCACGCGCAGTACACATTTTGCACATCAATATACAAATATCACAACAACAAAGTATAGCAGCAGCAGCAGCAACACAATAACAACCAAATTGATATTTCGTATACAATAAAAAAAAAAAACAACAAAAACTCTTATATGTAGTTAGACAAGGCAATAAAAACATACAAATTCGTAATCACTTTGTAGCCGCCTCTTGTTGTTTGTGCTTGTTATTTGCAGCTAACATATATATATATATATATGTATATATATATATAGGTTGACTGCAGCGCGTCTTTTACTATAAATTAGTTTTTAATTTTTGTCGAACGCCTCGAAATTGATATAAAGGTAACTCCGCTGCGCACAAAAACCGAAAATGAACTGAGTAGCAACTAGGGATGAGCGATATCTACTTGCCTAGCGATGACAAGCGGCTGTGGATATTATCGATGGTTTCGCATAAGTATCGATACTTAACATATAGGCAGCCCCAAGGCACTATAAATTCGTATCTGGTAACATAAGAAAAATACTTTCCAGTATTTTAATATATTTAATTATTTTTGATTGATTCTAAGTACAAAATCCCTTATATCTGCTCTCTTTTTGTTCTTGAAATATAATACAACTTTGTTTTGTGAGTGCAAGTGCATACTATCGATAATAACAGTCGATACACACACAAAGGCGGGCTGCCAGCAGCATACAAGGTGCTTAATGCGCAAGTCACTCGCATTGCTTATCAGAGTGACGTCATGAGCTCACTGTTATATTACCGAGCTCAATTCATGTTTAATGTTAAGATTACATATGACGAACATTTTTATTGCATAGAACAGTTGGCATGCGCATTGCCATTGGTTTTTTTTTTTTTGCCAGCATCTGTTTTATCACTCCAGAAATGCGCAAGGAACCCAGGACCTCTTTACAGGGATCGCATATGGTTATTATTTTTGCTAGTCTCTCAATTATCGTCACGAAACTTTGCATACTCTTACTCTTTCTGTTGCACGTAGTACATATGTACCGGCTGGATCGGACCACTATATCATATAGCTGTCATAGCAACGATCGGTCGAAAAGTAGGTTCTTGCATAAAAAACTTGTTTATTAACTATTTTTCCTGTGCCTCTTAGCTTCGAGCAAAACATTATGAGAATTACGAATAAGGTTCGTTCTGCAAGGGTATTAAATCTTCGGTGTGCCATCTTTCTCGTTCAAAACATTTCAAATACATTGCAGCTAAATCTCTATACACATCCTGCTGCCATCAAGAAGGTGGCAAGGGGAAAGGGGTAGCCGATTTAAAAATAAATACAAGAAGTCCTACGCAGTATCAGTTTCTCGTTACATAAAAGGACATTTCTTGGTCACGTTGCGTCAACCGCGGCAGAAAACGTGGCCGCACTCGGTCCCGAGCACGTTGATAACAAACGTGCATTCATAAATATCTGAGCTTGAGCTGTCGCGCTGTTGCTGTTCTGGATTTGAGCTGGGGCGTAGCTAAAACAACAACTGGGATGGCAGCAGACGCATTACGACGAACGGTTCTAACAACTTGGACTGAAGTTGCGGCAATTTCATCAGTTGCTCAAATCCATGTTAATTAGGCCCATGTCCGCTTATGCAAATGTCGCGGGCCTCAGACAGTTGAAGGCGCCCGCTTGAATTCCACATGGTTAGTTTTTGCTCCAGAGACTCAACAATTGGGCAATTTCTCGTCGGCTGTAAGATACATATGCTTATAGTTTTGATGTGGTAATAATTATTAGCTAACCTGAGCCGGCAAATACGAACAACTTTTTGATGCACTTTATATATGTAGTTTTTTTTCGCTTCAGTCAAATGGATCCCGCCCAAAACAGACGCGTATGTCAGCAGCTTTAACGGTGTCGCGAACATCAGCTGATCGCTGTAAAATGCGATTGTTATCGATCTGCGCTGTAAAATGCAACAATGCGATCCAGCTGCTACAATAATTTTAAATTGTTTGCTGTTTAACATAAATAACTGCTGGCAAATGCTGAATTTGATGTTATTTATAAACAAATTAGGAACTCATCAAAAAAAAAAAAAAAAAAAACGAAACAGCTAAATCTACATTAAGCCAAGCCAAGGCAGCCAAACTAAGCCCATATTCTAAGCTAAGGAACCAAACAATAAGAACACAATTCAACGGTTATTTTACACAACATATAATTCGATTTTTTGATTATTTTTTGTTTGTTTTTTTTTTTGTTTTTGTTTTGTTTCGTTACTGAAATAACATGCACGAATTAATAAATATTAAAGCAGCTAACTAAAATAGGTATCATAGTATGTTTGAGTTAAATCATCATCAATCACTTCTCACATCCAAATCTGTATATCTTTTGTAAGGGATAAACGCATTCAAAGCGATGTCAGATGATCTAGAAATAAATACGAAAAATGCGACGCAATGTCAACTTCTCGTTACATAGAGGACACTTTTTGGTCGCACGGACCGCAGCCACGATGCAAGCGTGGCAGAAAACGTGACCGCACTCGGTCGATGCCGGCTCATGGTCGCGGACACTTTCAAAGCACACCGGGCATCTATAAATATCATCTGTTGAGCTATTGTTGCTTGACGACGAAGGTGTAGATGCAACAGCCGGGCCGGGCGGGGCCAGAGGTAGACGCTCCTGATGGTTGCTGCGACGATGAAAGAACGCACGACGGCGAGGGTATTCCGGTGTGCTTAGATCTACAAAGGGAATTGGAGTGCGAGGTCTTGGCGGACTTGCATTATCCGAACTGTCCGAAAGACTAATCGAGTCCACTGGCTGTCCGGCTAAAAGGATAGCATATGTAAGTTTGCGTTTCAAACGCGCATAGATTGCTGAAAATGTCCTTAAAGTGAACTCACGATAGGCACCTGGAGCTGGACTGAGACGAGCTCTTATGATTCTGGGCGGCGAAACGATGCGTAGCGACTCCCAATCATGTTCTCTTACAGTCCTGCCTAAGCTCGCATTTTAATTGCATGGAGATTAGAGAGATGCATGTTAATTAAGTGTTTGTTCACTTACCCAGGCCATTGGATGCATTATCACGAACGGTTCCCAATACTGGTGGAGAATCAGGAGTTCTTCCACCAGCTGCAGACGACGAGTCGCTGGTGCTAGCACTCACGGCGCTGCTGCTGGGAGTGCTTCCATTCATGTTGCTGTCCAGCAGTGCACTACTCTCATTGTTATCAGACTGGACAATGTTACTGTTCTCGTCACTGCCTGAATTCTCTATGGATGCGTTTCCTTCGGGACTGTCAACGGTTCGTCGATTTCTCGACGGCTGTAAGACGTTTTTACAATTTGAGCATGCTCTTTACAGTATGGTCATTATTGTTAGCTAACCGGTGTCGAAGAGGCTGCTAAATTCCAAAAATTAAATAAGCCGAACATCTTGATGCGTCTAATTAATATTTTTTCGCTCGAATCAAATGTATCCCGCCCTAACAGACGCGTATGTCTAAAACTTTAACGGTGTGTCGTGCACAACAGCTGCTCGCTACTAACAACGATTGTTATCGATTTCTACTGTTAAATACAAGCGTGCGCTGTTAAATACAATCCAGCTGTTGCAACACATTTGAAATATTGTCAAGCAACCCGTATGGAGGCTTATATTAAATTGGGCGTCTAATTCTTGTATGTAAAAAACATTATTAAGTTATCTTGATTACTCTGATCGTTACAGCATCGGGCCACTTTATCCTATAACTGCCATAGAAGCAATCGCTTGGAAGTAAAGTTCCTGTATTTACAACGTTGTTTTTCAATATATCTTAATTTGAATTCTTTCTTCCTTATATGGCGACATAGTTCTCTTTGGTAAGGTATTTTATTATATCGCCAGCAATTAGACTGTAGCAAATTTAACACTTTTGCAATATTCTTAATCCGAATTGATAGCGCTATTTGAATGTGTTCGTTAAGTGCATTTCGTTAAGTGAGTAAATCTCTATTAGCAGTCCACAGAGTAACGAGTTCGTAACATAGCGACAATGAGCGCGATATATATCGATACATTTCGCCTACTCTTGCGACAGCTGAGCGCATTTTTTAGCACATTTTTGCAACGCGACGCGTTTGTGTAGCTTCTGCTAAACTTTTTTTTACGGTGACAAAAACAACATTAAAGCCAAACGCAAAAAGCCATTTTGTTGTGTGCGTGTGCATCCTGTGCAACACAAATCGTTGCTAATAGGATACTTTTTTTTTGTTTGTTTCTGTTGTTAGCCAAACAAGCTGCCTCTCCAGCAACAACGGATTGCAGCTGCAAAGCAAAAAGACAAACTTAACCTCGCAGCGTTTGCAAAAAAAAAAAAAGAAAAAAAGAAAAAAAGAAAAAGAAAAACGCAAAGCAAAGTGGCTAAGAAAGAAGAGAGAGAGCGAGCTACTTGTGTGAAGAAAAGTGTTTGTTGCAGTACCTATTTTGCCACCCCCCCCCCCCGCACATTCCTCCGATTGTTTGACATGAAAATTCCAACAACAAAATATAAGTAAAATAAACGGCAAGTGAAACAAAAACGAAATAAAAAAAAAAATACCAAACACCGGCAAGCAAAGCAAAAAGTCACACATACATATGCACATATGTGTGCGTGTGTGCGTGTATGTCTGTATGTATGCATAAATGTTATTTCGGAATGTTTTTTTTTTTGTTTTATAAAGAATATTGCGATTTGTTTTGTTTGATATTTAGCCGGCTTTGTTAGGCGAGCGTCAAATTCGTGAAACATTCGATGTTATTTGCATTTCCATGGACTGCGTTTATTTAACCCTAGATAGCCTGTCTCTCACAGTTTCCAATTGGATTTTGCAGTCTGCTAATTGGCAACAGCTGTGCAACATGCAAAACTCGATAAAAGCCAACTTTGGCTTTACATTGAAAACGTAAGATATTTTTTTATTTTCGCATACGTATTGTCTGGATATACGCACACACACACACACACACACACACACACACATGCGTACGTACATTCAGATACACATACATAACCTTAAATAGAATTAGAGATGTGCGCCGGTCGTGACCTACGCCAACAACACGATCGAGTTAAGTTGCCCGACAAAGGGGAAAAGCACTTAATTTAATTGTTAATATAAAATATAAAGTATTAGCAAGCAAATATTAGCAAGGTTTTTAATATAAATCAGTTTTATTGCCTTAAGATCAAACTGAAAAAGAAATAGTTCTTATTTAAAGGAGTTAATCATATTCTTTATTAGTTGCGCGATAATCGCAAATAATTGGTTTTAACAAGAACTGAAATAATATATCATATAATATTATTAAATATTAAATTTAACAAATTTATTTAGAAAATTGCGTTCGATTATCATTCAGCGGAAAATGCATCGAATAACCGTTATGTGCGGTGCCAGGTAAACAAGATTTGATAGTTTCTTGTTTATATAACATGTGCAGCAATAATTCCAATAAACAAATGCAATTCGACATTGGGAGTTTTTTAAATTATTAAATTTGTTGTCTTCAAATTGGTAATTGCATTTATTTATTTAGTCTTTTTTTTCTGTCTTGCACCTTGCTTAAACAATTGTATTTCATTTTTTTTTGTATTCAACAATTTTGGCTTTGTCTCAGTTCTTTAAATGTGTATTTACAGGTAATACACGGGTAGAAAGGGTATATTGGCTTTGTGCGGGCGTATGTAACCTCTTACGGTATATAGATTCTCGATTCGCATCGACATCCAAGTCGTAGGAGACATCCCTGGCTCCTAATAGTTGCGCGACAGGGTTTCTTTTGATTTATCGATAACTTTGCTCGTTTTAGAAACTTTATCGAAATCATATTTTGAGCATATCTCGGATTTAATAGGAGCTAAAGACATCAGACCTGGCATGATCACATTTTGGAAACCAACCCCCCTTTCCCCTCAAGCCTATGTTTCTGTGTATAAAGAGAAGGGGAGTGTGGGGGTGGACTTTGTGCTGCTCTCAGGGTATCTGCTAGTCGGGCAAATCCGACTAGACCTCAACACGTACAATAAAATATCAATATTCCTGCTTAAGACTTTGAAACTGCGAAGATCGCGAATGCACACAAGAAGTTAAATTAACTAATAACAATATATGATAATAATAATAATAATTAAATATCATTTAAATAATGATACTAATGAGCACATAACTGTAAAATTTTCAGCTTATATGCCACACGATCGTCATGGCGTTGACAATTGTTGTCACTGCGGTTGCCTCTCAACTCAGGCGATTCGATTGCAAACCGTACAATATTAATAACATTATTAATTGATACAAAAACACACAAAAAAAAAACGTCGAAAGACAAGTAAAAAAAAAAAACAAATTTCGGGCAGACAAAAATTGATAAAAACGTAAAAAAAAAATAAAATAAAATAAAATAAATTCAAACAAATCGGAAAACTTGAAACAAGGAATAAAATGGATCATTTTCAAACCTCGCTGAATCCGCGCAAACAGGAGCTGCTCGAAGCACGTTTTATTGGCGTCAGGGTAAGTTTTCATATATATATATATATTTTGCTATAGTATTACAAATCAACAGGAAAGCATTCGAACCCTCTCAGTTAGAAACTGGAGTTCGATTTTTATGTTTACCCATTTTAACGTTCGATTTCGACTCAAAAGTTTTTTTGATCCCATTTTTTTTCTGATAATAGAGTATACAAAATTCGCCATAAGCATAAAATCATAATTTTCCTTGCACATGTTTTTTTTTTTTCATTAATACAAAAGAATTGCTTATGGCTTAGAAATGGCTTTGAAAACTTTTGGGTAACTAGGCGCACAGGGGCTAACGTGGGTTAAGGCCCAAGCAGGCCAAACGGTTATTGCACTTTGGAATTGTCAGCAGCTACACAAGTTTAACTTTGTGCATCTTGTTGTTGTTGTTAGGTTGGAAACGGGTGCAGGGATAGGCCAGTGGCATAAGGGAGGGGTTTGGGTGTTGGGGGGGGGGAGTTTGCTTGTGCAGAAAATGAAGATGGAAGATGAAGATGCTTTTCCCATAGTTTGGTGGGCACTTTGCTGCTGCTGCTTCTTCTTCTTCGTCTTCGTTTTTTTCTTCATTGCTTTAGCTCGTTGTTCGCGTAGGGCGAAGAGTTGAACAAAGCGAATGGGATGAAAAGAAATGCACAAGCATAAGCAAATAAATTAGCGTACAAAGGATGTGCGGCAAAAGAAAGCGGGTAGAACATAAATATGTAAGTATGTACATATGTACATGTACATTATGTATTGGCATCTGCTTGCAAGAATGAAACGCTCCATTTACACACACACACACGCACGCTAGAGCGGCTCAATTGCTGGGCACTGTTATTGCTGCGCCATTGTTGTTGTTGTCACCATATTGTGTCGTGACGGGCCGTCGTAAACATCACATCCATGGATACATATGTGCATATGTACATATGCATGTGCATGTGCTTACATTCTTATGTTTATATTGCAAATACATATTATTGCACTGTTGGTGCAAGTTTATATATACACACATACATACACATCTTTTTGCAGTTGCCCTAACCACCCGCACAGCCCTTCTTCCTTTCAATCCTCTTCCCCTTCTACGCAACTAGACAAACGCACACATCCCCTACCTTGTGCTTCCCTACACCCATGTCAACCAAACTTTGCCCCACCCTAGCCCCACAAATACATACATATGTACATGTATGTATATCCCCTTTGCCAACCCTTCTCCCCTGCTTATTCGTACACGCTCTTGCGCTTAGCTAGGCTGGTCGGTGGCTTCTGGGTCTGCCACGTCTCTGTGCGTTTGGTGTTTGAAGAAATGAAAGCAAAAGAACAGCTGATAAGCGCGGCGCTGTTGTCGTCAACGACGACGCTGTTAACAGTGCGACGCGAATGTAAATGCCTGTGTGAGCTGTTAATGCTTGTGTTGGATTGGGCGAATGTGGTGAATAGTAAATTCAACTCATTGTGAACAGCAAGTTGGAGTCTTAACTGATGATCGGAGCGAACAAAGAGCTTTCACAGTGGAACACAAAATGGAATTTCTCTTGATTTCAAATTTAGTTTAGACCAGTTCAAATTCAAATTTAACTAAATATTGCATTAATTGATCTTTACGCTATATAGGTAGTATTTTTAAAGAAAATGTAAACTGCTTAATCGCAAGAAATTGAATCGTATGTTCACTGCTATGGCACCACTGTGCACAAGTAAGCAGTGCACTGTTAACGAACATTGCGCTGTTAAAAACAGTTGCTGTTACTGTTGTTGCTGGGTGCTGCTGCTGCATTTCTGTGCGCCTCATACAAACGTTTAAAAATTGTTTCACTCCATTTGCAAATTAACGCAAATTGCACCGTATATGTTAATAATAATACGCTGGCAGCAGCATCCCCAACAGACTAAGACCCCCGAAGAACAGAAATCATCAAATATGATGTACATTTAAACAAACATACATAGACATGTATGTATGCATACATGCATAACA